AGCTGCGGGACAGTAGACTGCGTACTGCGAAACCTTCCCTGCCTTGAAGAAGTGATCCTTCGTTGTGAAGAGTCTGGTTTGTGCGCTCCGCACCACAGCAGTAGCCCCGCTGCGACATAGTCCAACAGAGAGGCAGGAGCAAAGGGACAGTAGCCGAGAAGCAGGGTTGGGTTGTAACAGAATACATGTAACGGCGTTACGTAATCAGAATACAAAAATCAAGTAGGCTAACTGTATTCAGCTGGCGTTACATTTGAAAAAACGAGTAATCTGATTACAGTTACTTTCGTAAACCTGAAGTGAATACATTTTGGAATACTTATTGGAATTATTGGTGGAAAAGTTTCCTCACAAAATGTAATATTCATTACCGGCAGAACTGTGTGCACACTGCACGGCGCTGCAGCATGTCTGTGAGCGAGAGAGAGAGATCTCTTTTAAAATATATTGAAAGTTAGAAACGGAGATGGTTAGATAAAATGTGCAAGATAACGTTTATGTCGCATTTATTTATTGTTGAAATGATGACATTTATAACGGGATAAAATCAAAGTGAATGGCCTGCTGCTGCTGAATCAACACATCCTCACTCCCAGGTCGGCCTATGTTGACGTTATGTCAAGTCCCCTGTCGGCTTTTTCCAACGCAGGGGGGGGGCCTTAGCGTCCATTTTCAGCTTTCCGGGATGTCCATATGCTTATGGACGCTCATGGAAGCACGGCGTTCGTTTGTGTCGACTGCCCTTAAAGGCAAGGTGAGCGTCCATTCTCATTGGATAACGGAGAATTGTACACCCGGAAGTAAGTATTTCCCTTACTGTCGATTGATTTTACAGTGATATCTGCACTACTCATCGACTAAAAAACACCAGATTATCCTTGTTAATTACACAACATTGATTGGTTTAAATTGTGTGCAATGCTTTTGTATTTTTCCCCTTCGATTCGGAGAAACAAATGTTTTTTCGGAGTAAAGGATGGCAGAAGACACTACACTACCCAGAATCCCCAGCTATCGTTTGGACTACACCATGTGCTCTGTTTGACAAACCCCGTGATAGTCCTCAAGCTCTGTGATTGGAGAGTGTGCTCCGAGGGTTACGCCGAGCCTCGAACAGCACTTGAAATGGGATGGAATCACGGCAGACTGTCCAAAACTGGATTTGAACGGGTCCACCGCGTCCCCCCTCCCCCACCCCGTCCACAGAACTACAAATGCTGGCTATTCTGTTTCGCAACATGTTCTGTATCTATGGCACGTCTCTACTGGGAGTTGTAGTTTTAAAAGACGTTTTCGTATTTCCCATAATAAGAAGTTGCCAGTATTAAACTGTGTACATCCCTGGAGGTTTAGGGGATAGGAAACACTCACATTTAAAACATATAATTAATAAATGGGTGAAAATTGCTTGTGCCCATAATGGGCAGCATTAATATATATATACACATGCCAGCTAAGGTCAGAAGAGCTTTATTTAACAGCTGGTCTTATGTTTGTGACCCCTGTTGTTAATTGATAACATTACATTACATTAATTGATAAGCCTGAAACATGCACTTGTTAAGGTTCAGAGGCACATTTTGCAAATATGGCAGTAGCCATCGATCAGCTTAAGATAAGATATACTTTATTGATCTCAAGTTGGAACATTTGCGTTACATCAGCATGTGTAACAGTTAAATATGCAGTGGTGTTTATTTGTAAATCATTTAGTATAATCACAAAAATTCTGTGTTTTATATTCAACAATTCTGTGTTCTTTATTTATTGATTGTTCAATCCCTGACAAGGTCGGAGATGAAATATCTACATACATCTTATAAGAGTATAATACATTATGTATAATATCAGTTAAAATAAGTGCTTCAACATAGTTAACATTGCTGGAGGTACGCACAAATATTGATAGATGTCTTGTAATGCACTATTGAGGAACCTGCGACCCAAGTTTTTCGTTCAATGCATAACTACACCATAGTTGTGTAGGCCTATATGATATGTCAATAAACCTTAGAAAATCTTGAAAGGGATGTGCAAAATAGTCATTATATACAGTCTTTAATTAACTATTAGTAGAGAATAACGAGTAATTAATATACTTTATAGGGATCCTATTAATATCTAATAATAAAAATAATGAAATTCAATAACATGCTTTAACCACTAGGTGTCCCTTTATATAGGCTGTGCACCTTTATGGTGTAAATACAGCCTATCTACCAATTGGATCAAATATAAAAGTCAGCCGAATTAGTGTTGATACTGCAAGGAGACGTATTGTGTGAAAAGAAATGTAAGATGTTGTTTAATGGCTGATATATTTATGATCCACGTCACGTTTTCAGTTCCTCATGTTTGTCTAGAAGTCTTCTCATCAGGGCTCTATAAATACAGAACTACGGCAGATATGTAATATTTAATGCAGCCGAACCGTGTATTACAATGCCGTTATGTGATGACTTCCAAAGAGAAAAGCAAGCACACTCGGAATAAAGTATTATTGTATTTTTTAAAAATGTTTTCGGTCTGTTTCCGTTATTTGTTAATGACGATGTGCTCTGAGATGTGAGACTGGAATTGCACAGGGGAAAATAACGTAGGCTATCTTTAGATGCGGATTTTGTTAAACTAATATGTTTGTACTGTGGACCAACACTATACATTGATGGGGAAGGGGGTAGCAATAAAGATAACACCATTAAACAGTTACACAACATAACAGAAATAATATCGATAGCAGCGTCCCTAGCAACCACCTTGGTAACAATGAAAACGTTATGGACGCAATTTCCTGAAGTAATCTTCGTAATAACTAGCAAACTAAAGATCATGTACATCCACTGCACACATAATCTGAAATAACAACTCATATTTCTCGCATCAAATAACATCAAAACGTATTTTAATGGCCAAACTAACTTTAAAATAGGCCTTTTCCATCGAGAATAAAACGAAGTTCGGCCATGTTTTTTTTTTCTGCAGGGAGAAATTTGAAGATCACGTGACGTCAAACAGAGAACATGGTGTAGTCCAAACGATAGCTGGGGATTCTGGGTAGTGTAGTGTCTTCTGCCATCCTTTACTCCGAAAACATATTTGTTTCTCCGAATCGAAGGGGGAAAATACAAAAGCATTGCACACAATTTAAACCAATCAATGTTGTGTAATTAACAAGGATAATCTGGTGTTTTTTAGTCGATGAGTAGTGCAGATATCACTGTAAAATCAATCGACAGTAAGAGGAATACTTACTTCCGGGTGTACAATTCTCCGTTATCCAATGAGAATGGAGGCTCACATTGCCTTTAAGGGCAGCCGACACAAACGAATGCCGTGCTTCCATGAGCGTCCATAGAAGCATATGGACATCCCGGAAAGCTGAAAATGGACGCTAAGGGCCCCCCCTTGCGTTGAAAATGGACGCTAAGGGCCCCCCCCTTGCGTTGGAAAAAGCCGACAGGGGACTTGACATAACGTCAACATAGGCCGACCTGGGAGTGAGGATGTGTTGGCTGAATGCATGGGGCAAGTGACTGGAAAAAGTTTTAAAAGTTATTACATCGTTTCAAATAATAATGATAATTCATTCTATTAGGGGCGCCTTTCAAAGCACCCAAGGACACCTTACAATTCATAACATATTCCAAGGAAAGGTTTTAAGACAGTACAAATAATGCAGTCCGGGTGATGTTTTTTATGTGGGGTGCAGATGAGAGAGCTGTCCAGAATGACACCAAGATGTTGTGTTTGAGTTTTTGATAAGCCATTAAAACAGTAAAACAAGTGTCTCCTGTTCACCGAAACATACCCATCTGTTATGGAAAAAGAAAGTATTCCAAAAGTATTCTAAAAGTAATCTGAATACGTTTTTAAGACACGTAACTGTATTCTGATTACTTTCAGAGCATGTATTCAGTAACTGATTACATTTACAAAGTAACCCTCCCAACCCTGCCTAGAAGTCATCCTTCGTTAGCTAAGCTTTATGCGGTGCGCAGTACCTGAGCGTGCTCCACTAGCACCCCCCAAATAGATCAAATATTTTGAGGAAACATGTTAAATGTTGACAATACAATCCAACGTTTTTCAAGAAAAATGTAGTATTTCTACTCAAAGAAATAAGGGCTATGTTTAATTTACGAACAAGTATTTAAAAAAATACGGTATAATAAATAATATTTTCTATAATAAAGTGTAACGTTAAAAAAAAAGACTAATCATTTAAAATACAGTAAAATTGTTCAAGTTTAAATACAAATCTACAGTATATTTTCTGAAGTCTCAGAGGGAGTAGAGCTTGAGCTGCTCCTCCATCTCTCCCTCCGTCACCTCCCCCAGCGCCTCCTGGTTCTCCCTCAGCAACAGGAAGATGGCTGCTAGCTGCTCCTGTTGAACCCTGGGAAGTGAAGTCACAGAACTGAACAGAAATACTCAGCTGAGGTCACATGACAGGACACAAATATCAAAATATTTCTTGATCAAATTAATTAATAAAGAAAAGAAAAAAGTACTCGTTTTTTAAGGTCAATGCTGTAATTTCTCTAGAGAAAAAACGTTTTATATTCATAATAATGTCATGATTTTGGATGGTAATGGAAATTCAAGAAAACCTTTGATAAAGGTGTGGTGGCCAACATGTGCAAAAGCAAGATGGTTCTTCATTTGCATATGTTTTGGCACATTTGTGTTTTCTAATCGTTTTTTGAAACAACAGCGCGTTTCTCCTCATTTAAATGGTTTTGATCGTTGTTGTCGTCCACCATCTTAAAGTGATCTGAAAATCATTCATTCAATGTTTTTGAAGAAAAAGTATAATATGAATTTTTTCAGGATTAATGTCGTAAAATATCAAGAAAATAAAGACACAAAGAGACAAATAATAATAAAAATAATAATTATACTATAAAAAGTTAATAATAATCATATTTATAATTTAAAAAAAGAACATACTAAATTAAGAAATACATTAAAAAAGACACAAAAACAAACAAAAGAAGCAATTGGATGGTTACATTTCAGGATATATTTTAATGCACAGGATGCTTAATTCAAAAATAAAAACAAAAGCTTCCTGAAGCAAACACAACTAACGTCAGTTGGGTTTCACACATTCATTTATTTATTTATTGCATGTCTAAACATGTAAATCAAACTGAAAAACCTCACACCTCAAACACAGGACGTTTAACTTCGGTTTTTTCCCGTTCTTCTAAGAACAGCAGATTCATTGTTTGACTAAACTTTATTGAAATCAAAGTTTGAACAAAAGTGTCACACTGCTCCATCTGTCCTGTAAACACAATAACTTCACTCTGTTTCTGTTAATGCTACTCTACAAACAGTACAAACACAGACTCCTGAAGGCACTTTGGTGTAAAGACGTTTGCTATTCACAAGCAGCTCAGACCTGAAAGATTCTCAAATAAAAGGTTTCAAATCTTTTCCTTCAGCAGTGACAAAATCAAGGAAGAAGCTGAAGGGGTTTCAAATCTCAGGATGATCATTCAGGATCTCTGAAAAAAGAAAATAACCCACAATATTCATTTTTAATGGGTCAAGAAATACAACTTAAAATAAGAGTTCCAAACAATCAGGGAATGTAACGTAAATCACTTTAAATGAACGCTAATACATGAAAGTTAACACTTAACATTTTATCTGATGTCCTATTCATGTCATAAAAAGATTACAAAAACAAAATGTCCCTTGTTCACTGTGTTAAATCGTGTAACCAAATTCAGTCCTGATCATAACTTTATTTCATTTTCTTTGTAAATTTTATTTATAAAGCACTTTATTTTTTTCTGCAGTGTCAGTTAAAAAAAATAGAATCCATACACGATAGAACACAATTATCCACTTCCTAAAACTGATATAAGATTAATATTTATTCATATCTTTCCTCACTTTTATTAAATACCTTTACTCACTTCAGTCCTGATCATAACTCCTAACTATTCATTTTTTTCTCCAAAAAATGTCTGCTTACATAATGCCACTTGTTTATCAAAGGAAAAAAACACAATTTAAATAATTACAATCTGTATAATCAATTCTGAGTGCAAATATATTTCAATGACCCACAACAACATAGATAACGTTTTGTTGTGCAGTTCATATTACCAAAAAAAATCATTTCTACATTAGACAACAGATGTCCCTTCATTAATCGGATAAAATAAATATTACGTATTCATATTTTATTATCATCTTGCACTTAGTTAAACCTTTTAACTAACTTCAGCTCTGATCAGAGCAATTTAATTGTTGGGATTTTAATCCTATTGTTTGTTTACATTCTTTATGGGATATGTCAATTGTTAGCATTAACATTGTTTTTCATTTATGTATACTATTTTTACTCTTGCATTAAAAAAAATGAATCTACCTTCCTAAAACAACTGTTCAAAAATGATTTTATTAATATAATTGTACACTTTCACTGAGTTAACTTACCATTTAATCAATGTTTCTGCTAATCAAGGACATATCCCAGAGTGTGAAAATCCTCCTAATATGTAACACACTGAAAATGCATCTACATAAAAAACAGTGGCATTATGTCACTAAGAAAAAGTGGAAAATAATATTAATATATAATAATAAAAAACGTTATACGGTCAAAACTGTCAGACTTTAACTTGATCAATGATTGTTATAATGTACATAAATGAATAGAAACCACGAAACATACTGAAAAAAACATCAACAAATATAAGTACATTATTTGATGAAGACACAGGCTGTTGTTATTATTGAGATTAGACTGAATTAAAGTAAATGAATTAATTCATGCAGAAGCTATGCAGGGTTTGGTTTATTAAATTAAAGTGAACTTAAATGCACACAAAGTGTAGCTGCCTTTAAACAGTTGTTAGCATCACTCACCGTTAGCTTATGCGTTAGCAGGCAGCATGCAGTTAGCAGGGGAAGCTGCAGGAAATAACATGTAGAAGAAGAGAGGCTCGGTCCTCAGACAGGAAGCTCTACCTGTGTGTGTGTGTGTGTGTGTGTGTGTGTGTGTGTGTGTGTGTGTGTGTGTGTGTGTGTGTGTGTGTGTGTGGGGAGGGGGGGGGGTTGTTGGTTGACTTTTTTCACAGAGCATTTGTTTTTGTACTCATGAACCAATACTGAGAACTCTCATTTAACAAATATTCTCGTATTATTGTACATTTCTATTTTACATGTGTAGGTCATGAATCATATGTATGCATATAGAATGATAATGTACTAATATGACCAATTATGATATGATTACTGCTATTACTACTTAAACTATTACTAAAACCACTACAACCAAATAATAATAATAATTAGTTATAACATTGATTCTCCTACTTGTTAATTGTGACCATTAACGCGCAAAAAACACCTGTTATAATTATAATAATAATAAATATTATAAATAATAACATATTATTATATTAATAACTACATAATCATATTATTATTGTTATTATTATCATATATCGGCGGAAGCGTATACATCTAAAGGGAATTGTACACAATAATAAAAGGATAGGTGTATTAAGCCTAAACATTTTATTAATATTTATATATATTATTTATAAAAAAACACCTTTATTTATTATTTCCTTATGCAATGACAGTATTCATCCAGCAGGGCGCGCTTCCCTGTAACAAATTGCCTTCCTGCATCATAAAGTAGCAGAAAGTGTGTTGGATCAACTATTACGAGTTAATAATAATAAAGAAATACGAAGAAATCATCTGAAAAACTGCTTCTTAAATGACTGTTTTTCTCTCATGATGTTCCTCTAACATTCTCATGAATGTTTATAATTTTTATTTTAAAGGTCCCCTATTATACTCTTTTTCATCAATATATTACAGGTCTCAGATATATACAAAACATGTCTCTGAAGTGTTTGCCTCCAAATACCAAACATAAATTGTAGCATCCCCTCTGTTTCAGCCCTGTTTCAAAAGTGCTGATTCTCTGTCTTTTACTTTAGATCAGGGGTTTTCAAAGTGTGGGAAGGTGAGCCTCCCCTCAGAGAACATAAGAACAGTCGCGCCCCCCCTCCCAATTATTATTGCTATTATTGTTGTTGTTGTTGTTGCTATAATGCAGGGGTATTATTATCCAGTGGAAAGTCATTACCTACTGGCCTAGTTAAATCAAAGTGGTTACTTTTTTTTGGCTGGGCAGTGAAGTTTTACACACCGTCTTATTTGACTTTCTCAGGACTTGAAACAGTTTTTTGGAGGTAGACCCCCACAAAGAAGAAAATATATTTACACACGTAAGGTCATCATCTTAACAGTTTATTATTCTCATCGACTCATCCGTGAGCAGAGCATCAAGTTGGCATGCCTATAACAGCTGAATGCGGCGATTACCATCTTGTTCAGCAAAACGCCTCACAAACTTATTAAGATCCAAAGCTTTAGTGCGTTTTGATTCAATGCTGAGTACAGCCAAACTTGACAGTCTCTTCTGTCATTGTAGACCGCAAATACCTCATTCCTTCCGTCTACTTGGATCCGAATGCGCCGTCCCGTTCAAATGAAATCGCCGCCAATCACATTTCCTCGCTTGTGCCAGGGTTTTCAAAGTGTGAAGTACAGCTCCACTTACAGGCCCGGCATATGTACTACAGCGTGTCCAGCGTTTGTGTGGACGGACACGTTTCTTGAGCCGATTCCGTGTGGAAGAATCGAAGACTTTTTTGAAAACTACTTCGGTTTATTTTCGTTTTTGTCTCGTCTCCGTGTGGGCGGGGCCTCAGGTGATAAGGTGGGGGGTTACCTTGGTTGGTGATTGGCTAATGGTTAAACAAGCCAAAAAAACATTGTGACATCATTAATGGCACATTTCCACTGCAGCGGGGTAGCCCCGTTTAAGCGTCCTCGCTCAGGCCTCGGGCTGCCTCGCTGGCCGGCCTAGGCCGTGGCGCATTTCCATTACAGTTTAGGACCTGGGGTAGCAACGCAGTGTAGGCGGGGCGAACGGCTTTTTTTTTTTTCACATTTCGAGTTGTTCCGTCGAGCTCCTGCTGGATTTGATCATCCCCAATGAGATGTAGGAACGTTGTCACCTCCTCGGTCGACCACGGTGTGCTTTTCTTTGACGTTGCCATTTTTGTAGCTCATCCGTTTACAAAAATTCTGCGTATAAAAATGCTGCAAGCTTGCTTCTAGATATATATGCGACGCTAGGGATGATCTCGCGCGCGATCTTGTGACTATTCTCTCTGACCAATCAGCAGTCGAGAGTGTTGACGTCACTAGTTCAGCCCTGGCCCTGATAGGAACCACGATTTTATGAGGCCGGAAAAAGAGGGAAAAAGTACCCGCTAGCCGGTGCTACGCTATATGGAAAGGCCATTAAAAACTGGCCTGGCCGCTTGAGGACTAAGGACGCTTAAACGGGGCTGCAGTGCCGCTGCAGTGGAAATGCGCCATAAGTGGCCAAAATCTGATCCGCTCATTTTCAGACAGGTTATTATATAAATGGATCAGGACAAAAAGAGAGAGAGAATTTTTTTCGTGAAACTTTCCAAATCTCTTAACACAGAGGAGACACATGTGTATGTATAAAATACATGACAAAGTGGATTTTGCTTAATAGGTGACCTTTAAAGGAGCTTTAAAAAGTAAATGTAATATCATTATATGATTTGATGTGTTTCCATAACTCTGAGCAGCACTGAGAAGATGATAAAAAAGTATATGTTGCAGCAGTTCAGTATTCAGATACATGAATGCATTTAATGTACTTATACCACACTGTAAAATACTCAATCAATAAAGTCACGTTGATCCAAACATGGTTAGCAATGTAATGCCAGCCTCTCTCTTCAGATAGAATACATTTTAACTCGGGTTATTTTTGTTGGAGTTGATTTAGGGAGGAGGGGGTTTTAATAGAAATATGACCTTACCATGTCCCTCCTAACACACTGTGTGTGTGTGCTGATGATTATAGAGAAGTAAAATCTGACGTAAGCTCTATCCTGAAAGATAAGCACACAAAGCATCTGCTGTTTTAGCACAAAATGGAGATTATCCAAAAAAACTTGGGAGGGAGTCATGCTCATATACTGTATCAAGAGGGGGGGGGGGGTTACCTGACTACTGATATTAATGTGCAATGGATGCGCTACAAGAGAGGGCTTGTATTGGACCTTATCGTGATTTGAAATTTGCACTTGATATACCTGAATAAATGAAATAATGCAAAGTAAGCTCATTTAAACATTTAAAACAAGTTATTTGTCAGATATTCATGGTTCAGATATTCATGCTCTCCAGAGGATGAATCCCACTAAATGTGGTGACCCTGTTTGTCTTTAAGTGAAATAACCCAATAACTATTGGATGTCCTGTCAATACATTTAAAATGTGGTTCATCTTTCATGTCCCCATGAGGATAAATTGTAGTAGAGAGCTAAAGAATGAGTCCTAAAACCAGGAAAAGAGTAAGCATTTCAGCGTTTCCTGTTCACTCATCTGAAGTCATGGAAGAAATCATGTGTTTTAAAAAAAAAATGTTTCAGTCTGATGCCTGAAATAAGGTCTGGTGTAACACAAGCTGAAGATATTTTAACGTTTTGTTCTGCGACATAAAATATGTCAATACACCCTATTATCCTGAAGCTTTTAAATGACGTTAAAACAGTCGTTGCCAACAAGTGACTAAATGGGACTACTTAACAGCCCGTTGCCAAACATTAGCCGCCTTTAGCTTAGCGTTGTTGATGTAAAGTGAGGTGACGTAGTTCCTTTATTTGCCTATTGTTAGCGTTTTTACTTCTGGAGATTGCATTTACACTTTATTACAACTGTATGAGGTTAGTTGAACGCAATAATATTAAGTCCACTTAATATTATTGCTTTCAACTAACCTCATACAGTTATGTGAAATGTGTTGACATAATACATTTAAGTTAAGTAACATTAAGTCAACGTTTCAGTTTTCTGCAATAAAACCAAATCTAATCGAGAAACCCCATTGGCGTTTTGCGGAGGGAACCAAGGAGATGCTACCTTCAAGGTCGGACTACAAGAGTTACCCTTTCAGTCGAATACTTGAGTTTATGACTAAATACTTGTTAGAAGAGTGTTCATCTAAATGATTTCACAGTTCTTGAGCTTCGATTTCAAAGGTAACATGTTTTCATAACATTTTAAGACACACTCAACCATGATCTGGAGCTGTGAACTATGCAGAGAAATATCTTTCATCTGTGAAATCGGTTCACCCTGAGAGAGACTCAGACTGAGACAAAGACTCTTCTCTTCTCTGTTTCCCAACAGAAACACAGAAACACAGCGTCGCCAACCCACAAGAACATTTTAAGAGTTTCTGGAGTTTAAAATAAAAAGGGTTATCCAATCAGACGGCTGAATATGTCTCCTCCCTGCTCTTAGATACAAAGTAAATTATAAACACTCTCTCAGCTGGAAAACATGCGTAACAGAGGTTATGTAATGTCTGCTCACTCACAGTCCAGCCTCAGGGTGTGGATGGAAGACTTTGCTGGACTAAATCTCACAATAGGATTTTCATTTTCCACTTTTGCATTAATTATTAAAAAATTCAATAATGCAAAGTAGTACTCTCTGAAACCATTAGAAAATAGACAAGCTCCACTTTATCGTCGGTAATAATAAAATATATTTAGCAAGAAGTAGCACCCGCACTTTGCATTGAATTTAGTCACATCGGAGAAATATTTTTCCACATATGCATTGTTTAAAACAAAAACACATCAGGATTAAAGAAATTAAATATAAAATATAGGAATGTAATTTAAGTATTTCTTCAAAATAATAAATCAATATATACACTTTAAATAATTAAATAAATATAATAAAAAATATATACTTACAAATATATAAATATATAACATTATGTAAATGAAGATATGTAATAAATATAATTAAAACAAGAATCATTATAAAATGTAAAAGATCAAGTAAAGTATTGTGTAAATTCAAATAAAATAAAAAATCTAATAAAATAAAATAAATTATATTTATTTATATATACACAGTAGACATTTATTTCATTTTTTGAGAATGATAACTCGCAAGATGTAATGCTAACTCTGCATTGTTTTGGGGCGAAATGTAGGACCACAAAACACATATACATGCGATTATTTTTCCTTGCATTTCTTCAGTAAAGTCACTAAACAAGTGTCTTTCATTTCATGGACAGAGGTGTTAAGGTGCGTGCAGAAGACCCTCCACCCGCCGTCCCTGGAAGCTAAAGCCTTTAGCAGAACACACTGCTGTACATGCAGCCGCACACAGACCCTGCAGCAGGTCCAACATGTCACATGACCTCAGAACCCACTGTCACTCACCTCTGCTCCTCCTCAATCTCCTCCTTCGTCATCATCGTCTCAAACTTGCTCTGTTTCTTTCCTGGAGTGAACATCACCATGTCGTCAGCTGCAGCCACATCTGACACACACAGGAAAATAACTGAGTCCATCTGCTGAGTACTTAAGTACACATTTTAAGTATTTGTACTCCACTACATCTTAGAGGTAAATATTGCACATTTGATTCCACTACAATTGTCTTTAGTTACTTTTCAGATTACAGTTTTTCATCCTACCCAATTGAATCGAATAAATAAAAGCTTTAAAAAATGTTTTATTAATAATTTACACTAAATACAAAATGTTCCAAAAACAAAAAATAATAACAAAAACCTTTTTTGTTTACTATTCTATATCTCCCTTTTTATTTATTAATATATAAGTACATAAAATAGACAAGACATAGAACAAAAACATTAAGAACATTGAAAATGTAATTATCAATAAAGAAATGCTTAGAATAATTGAATGCATATAAATAAATAACATTTGGAGGGAATTTGAAGTACAAAATTCTACAAATCAGTACCGGATTTAATTTAAGGACAAATAAAGAAAATAAATAACTATTTTACTGCACAAGTAATACTTTGATTTTGACTATTTTTAGATTTACATAACTTCAGTGTTTTTAATGTAGGTGTTTTACCACACACACACACACACACACACACACACACACACACACACACACACACACACACACACACACACACACACACACACACACACACACACACACACACACACACACACACACACACACACACACACACACACACACACACACACACACACACACACACACACAACACACACACACACACACACACACACACACACACACACACACACACACACACACACACACACACACACACACACACACACACACACACACACACACACACACACACACACACACACACACACACACACACACACACACACACACACACACACACACACACACACACACACACACACACACACACACACACACTAGAGTATTTCATGGTAAGATGTGTGTGCAGTATGGTAGTCAGGACGGCCGTCTGTGGTTCCTCTGTTGATAAGTTATCTGCGGAGCACAGCTGCTCCAACTCTGCATTCATACAGTCAGCGCTAACAGGCTGCACACATCTGCATCTACTAAATATTCATATTAAAAAAAATATATATAGAAAATAGGATAATTCAGAATAAATAAAATGGGAAAATATAAAATAAATGTAAAAAATATATGTATTTATCTAAATCAAATAATTTATATATATATAATTTGAATCTAATTGTAATAAAATATATATAAAATAGAATATATGTTTTAGGTAAAATATTTAGATTTTTAAATAAAGTTAAAGGTGGGATAGGTAATTTTGGAGAAACCAGCTCGAGTGCGCTAGAGTTTGAAAATACACATCCGGAGAAAATCTGCCACTTCCTTCCAGAGCCCCTCCTCCAGCACACACGAACGCGCACATGACCAATGAGGGCACGAGATAAGTTTGTGCACAGATGGAAGGCTGACAGGCAGGTAGGCCATCCAGTTACTTTAGCCGGGCCGGCTCAGATGATTGGTCGTCCTTGTTACAGTATTACGGCTTCCACAGATGATGTTTTTTTAATGGATTTTTTGTCAAAGCACTTCAGATATTCATTGCTATCGGGATGTTAAGAGCATTCCATGGAATATAACAAAAAGTGTATCTCGAGCCGGTTTCTCAAACTTACCTACCCCACCTTTAAAGTACCTAGAGTGAAGGTATTGATTGTGCGGTACATTGTAGTAAAATAACTTTATTTTATGTTTTAAGTAAAATGTAGGATGTTTGAGTAAAATAAAGTCACCTGAAGTAAAGGTAAGTTTACTTCATTGTAGTAAACTTACTGTAGGTGAATATATTTAAATTGGATCATTTAAAAATAAATGTGAAATAAAAGATATGAATCCAAATAAAATAAAAAACAAAATATAAAAATATACAAAAATATATGAAATATAAATAAAAGATAAGTTACATGAAGCAAAAGTATTGATTGTACAGTATTAGGTACTAAAAGTACTTAAAGGTCCCATGACATGGCCATTTCTACTGATCATAATTAAGCGGAAGATCAGTGTTTGTTAGCAACCAGAAAATGACACCAGTAATGACAAACAGATGAGAATGCTGCGTGGGGTCTGGGTGCCGTGTTGGCGGGACGTTGCGGGGCTCGCTGTTCCGCCCTTTGAGGCTCGAGGCACGAACAGTGTGAGCTGGATTACTGGTGTCGTTTCCTGGTTGCTGCGTGGGGTCAGCGAGACAGCGCGGAACTCAGCCTGAGCACACACACACTCCGCGGAGCCATGGCTGAGAAAAGATAAGGCTGAGTGACCAGGAAGAAAAAAATGTAAAAAGAGAAATCTCCAACGAGGCGTTCTGGGGCAGCACAGACAGGTCTTTTCTGTGTTAGAGTTTTACTCGCTACAGGGTGTACTTTGAGGGTTTGTGACTCTGCAGACCGTTTACATGCATTAAAAGCTACATAACACACAAGGGGACGAATAATAACGCATGACATGGGACCTTTACAGTGCTGATTGCGCAGTTAGTTTTACCCTGTAAGCTTTCATTAATATGTGGTTTTTGGATTAAAATCCCTGCTGCATGATTTGTAATAATGAATGAAGTAACAACTCTCACCATTGGTTGGGAAAATCTCAGGTTCTGGTTCTGGTGTAAACTCTACGATGGGTTCAGGCTCCCAGACCGTCTCGGGCTCGGGCTCTGGAACCTCAGCCGGTTCTGGGACAGGTTCTGGTTCTGATACTGGTTCGGGCTCTGGGACAGGTTCAGGTTCCGATACTGGTTCTGGGACAGGTTCGGGTTTGAATACTGGTTCAGGTTCTGGGACAGGTTCGGGTTTGAATACTGGTTCTGGTTCGGGGACAGGTTCGGGTTCCGATACTGGCTCTGGTGCAGGTTCTGGTGCTGCAGCTACTTCTGGTGCTGCAACTGGTTCAGGTACAATCTCTAGTACTGGTTCAGGTTCTGGTACTTTAACTGGTTCAGGAGCAAGCTCTGGTACTTTAACTGGTTCAGGGACAGGTTCTGGTGCTTTAACTGGTTCTGGTGCTGGTACTGGAGCAGGCTGGAAAGACACAACATTTGAAAACAGTTAACTACTGTCAGAGATAAAAGGGAAATTACCAAAACATTTCTGGCCTGATTTTCAGAAAACCGGCCGGAAGGTAGCAAGGTAGCATGAGTTAAGGAAGAGCTCATTCAATTATAAAGCGGATCGGTATGGCTATTGAAACATTTTTAAGTGTTTCTCCAACTTCACGTGTTTCTTGTGAATTTTCCCAGTCAGGACGTTTTTAACGATTGTTCAAACTTCACCTGAATGCAGCACAAATGCCAAATCTTGTAACGTTACCCTGGTGAGAAATATTGTGTGTTTTTTCCCAGTTTTCTATAACCATGTGAAATAAGACCCACGATAAGCCGGTTTGAGTAACGGTTTTAAGATCTTAAAATAATTCATTATTTTTTTGTTTAACTCTTGCTGATCTTTCTCCGGAACGCCCAACATTTTATTTCACTTTCAGTTAAATACAAACCACAAGTGTCTTCTTACAAAATGTCAGGAACTTGTCCAGCCACCGGCATCTTCTCCGATACCAGTGCATCCCTAAATATATCTTCAGTGGAGGTCCCTGTGATCATATTAACGTGACCGCTGACCTTTGACAGACCAACGCTGCGTGGAAGGACATGCTGTCAGCGGCAGATCCTCGCTGAGGGTCCGCCGCCTGCCACTGACTTCAGGACAAATGAAAGCCTCTCCAGTGTCTGCCGCCCTCCTCTCCTCGACACCTCTCATATTTATATTTATCTGTCTTTTCAACAGGAGACCTCCCTGCTCCTCCACGGACAGACCCATCTGTCCGTGTCTTTTTGTAAAGTGCTGAGTTTGAAGAGATTGACATTGGAGAGGCAGATCGAGTGTCTCCATCAGGAGTGTCAGGATGAACATGTGACTAAATCAGGATTCTAAAACCCTACATTCGAGTATTGGAAAGCAATCTAGATCAGTAAACCCTAAATCAAGATTAAGAAACCCAAAATTAGGTTAACAATCATTAAATCAAGGTGATCATTTACAAAATCAAGATTTTAAAACACTAAATCTTAAAATAATAGTCAAAGTAGTATAATACTTAATCATGATTATGAAACACAAAGAAATGAAAGTAAAATAAATGATAAATAAATCATTATTACGTGAGACAAAATCTAAGTTTTTAAAACTAAAACATGATTAGAAGTTATTAAGTCAGGAATAAAAAATTGACAATAACACATCAAATCAATATAACAAAATATGAACTCAAGATTATGAGATGCTCGTAATGATACATTTCTAAATAATGATTTCAAGATACTTAATACAAATGTTATAATACAAAATCAAGATTACAGAATACGAAATTAAGATTATTTTATTTAAAAAATTGGATTACAAAATAATGTTATATTATTCAAAATCTTGATTATAAAATACGAAATCAAGATTACGATACGAAAGATAAAGAGGATTTTATAAACATTTATGATAAAAAGATACAAAACAAGTTCACTCAAGATTATAAAACACTTCACAAAGACTACAGGCTGACTCAGTACAGGCCCACATGTGGCAGTGACAGTGAATGCATCGTGACTGTATCAGAGTACTCGTGCCGGCCACTCTCTTAATCCCACAGCCCCCCTCCTTCTCTCCGTCTAAATGGATTGGCATCCGTTTAGCACAAAACACTTCCCTTCCTCTGCCTCTGAATTCCTGAGCCATGAAACACCAAAATAATCTCATCACCAAAGACTCGCTGTGTTCTGGATCACTGTGCTAAATGCAGAGTCATTAACTCATTCTGTGAGTCAGCATGATGATAGAGGATCATTATTATAGGATACCAAATCAAGATAGTGAGATTGGAAATCAAGATTGCAATGTACTAATTCAAGAATATGAGATACTGAACCAAGACAATGTGACTAATGTGCTGCTTTATCAACATGATGTGATGCATATTTAGGGATAGAAATACAAAACTTAAGATGATCACAATAGTAAAATATCAAATTAAGATCATGAGATACTCAATTAAGATTATATCAAACCAAATCATCATTATATAATAGAAAAGTATGATCACAAGATTCTAAATCCAAATTCTATAACAATAATTTCATTTAATACTGAATCCTGATTACGAGATGATACATCATGCCTGTATAATGTTAAATCATGATTTCCAGAGAGTAAATGAAGACTATATCATCCAAAATCATGATTAAGAGATATTCAATTGGGATTATATTTATACAAAATCATGATTTCATGATTCTACACCAAGAACAAATACAAAATCATGATTACGAGAAACTAAATCATTATTATTTAAGACAGAATCATGATTACAAGACATTAAATCAATATTACTTGAATACTTAAAGGGGACCTATCATGCAAAATGCACTTTTGTACGTCTTTTATACATGAATATGTGTCCCCGGTGTGTCAGGGAACTCACCAAGTGTCAGAAAACACAACACTCTCTCTTTTCCTCCATACCAAATCTCTAAAAATGGGGCTGCAACAGATCTGATAGACTGATCCAGATTTGAAAGTTCTCTGACGTCAGGAACGAGGAGCTCCGCCTCTATGGCCAACTCTCCACCTATCAGGGGAATGTGGGGTTGGGCCACGGCCGGCCATTGCCGCTCGAAAGCGCTGGAGACGCTGTAGTACACATGCCAGGCCTGTAAGTGGCGCTGTAGTCTGCCACAAAAGCAGCGAAGAAGACTTCCCGCGCATGGTTGTCATGGTTGCCCTTCTGTTTATTCTCCGCTGTGGTTCTTTTTCTCCCTCCCCAAGGCAAGCGTTTGCACCTCCTGTTGTAATTCAATGCAATCCCTCCCTCGCTGTAATTCTCTCCGGTTAGGCCACCAGCAGATGACAAACACCCACCTCTTCAAAGGAACGAGGGGACCGTGCAGCAGAGTTTCAGTTAGATTTGTTTTCGCTGGTCAACATGTCCGTTAAAGTTGAAATCTTCCGGACAAATTTAGAAAAGTGCCGGTCAGAGGTCTTCTTTGTTATTTATTGAGCTTTAAAACAAATGAATAATGAATCTATATAATCATATAAGAATAAAACACGGAGGACGGAGATCTCTTTTTCTCCCCCTCTTCTGACAGCCCAGCAGCTGATCTCAAAGCATGCTCCTCTCTCCTGCAGGGGGGCGTGGTCAGCTGCAGCTCATTTGCATTAAAGCTACGTCACAGAATCAGCCCCTGCAAAAACAGTCCTGGAAAGAGCAAATAGAGCGAAATGAGGCATGGCTAAAATGCAGGATCTGTTTGGTATTTTGACTATAACTATATTTATATACTTTATATAGGTATGGCCCTACAATATACTGTTCAAATATAGCATGATAGGTCCACTTTAAATCACTAAATCATGATTAAAATATATAACTAAAGATTATTCCAAACTAAATCAAAACAGGTTTACTACATGAATATCATACCTTACTAAATCACAAGATATTAAATCAAGATAACACCGTACTAAATGATGATGCGTGATAATAAATAAAAATGATACCATAAATAATTCATGATTGCAAAATACTAAATCAAGATTATATAATACGAAAACCATCCATACAAATGACAAAATCATGATTATGAGATACTTAATCAAGATTATGAAATGCTATATAACAACAAATAAACTACACTAAATCAACATTTTAAATGACTGATTGTGATGCCCCTGTGGGTTCATCTGTAGAGGGTGTGGCTGTGCTGTGTCCAACCTTGATTGCAGTAACTCAGGGCACCTGGGTCTGGTGCCCTGCAGCTACTTAAAGCCTATCTGCTCCTCTCTGTCTCCTCTCTGCTTTCTCCTACAGCCACCCATTTCTGTTGAGTATGCTATTAGTTACTTCAGTTGCTTTACTTTGTGCACCTCAACACCCTCACACATACATGTCCATGCAACCCTCACCCTGCATTTACTCTACTGATACCACTGACGTCCACACCTCATGCTTTACCTACTTTGCATTTTTAATTTTCAATTAATTTGGTTAATTTGAATTACTTGCTTAAATAAACATATTTTGTTAACCTTTAATATGGTGCGTCTCCTCTTTGTTGTGGCTTTTGAGCCAGGTCATAACACTGATCAAGATTTTAAAACCCTTCACATAGTCAGAGCCACTCTTAATCCCACAGCCCCCCCTCCCTCACTCCCTCTAACTGGATTGGCATCCGTTCAGCACGAAACACTTTCCTTCCTCTGAATACCTCAGCCATGAAACACCAAAATAATCTGATCACCAAAGAGCCAAAGACTTGCTGTGTTCTGGATCACTGTGTTAAATGCAGAGTCATTAACTCATTCTGTGAGTCAGCATGAGGATAAATTGTTCTCTTGGCCAAAACCAAAGCCCACTGCTGTCGTCTTTAATTGGTCAAATATGTTTGTTTTGGACTAGTAAAGCATGAGCTCATCGGGGGCTGCGAATTCTTTCAGCCGATGACCTTTGGATGAGTCAAAAAAGTAACATTAGAGCCAACTAGAGAATGCAAATCCTGAAGAAATTGCTAGTGGGAATTCTTTATGCTGAAAAGCTGATGCTAAACTGCTATGCTGAAATGTAATGTGTAAGAAGAAAGGGAAGAATTGACATGAACACTGGGGGCTTGAATGTGTGATGAGAGAAGAAAAGAAAGTAAAAAGGCTTGGAAAAGCAGCAGAATATTTGAACTGAACTAACTTGATGGAGAATGATCTGTCGCCATGCCAACGGCATTTGATGACATCCCATAATACGCTTAGATGCGTTGATGGCTGCATAGTTACCAAACCTGTGAAGTTTTTGGCCGTTTGGAACATTTTCACTGAAGTTATGAGAAAACCGTGTTTCATGGTGAGCATTGTGTTGCCATGGCAACGGCAATTGAAGAAATCTCAAAACTGTCCCGTTAGCACACATGTGAAGTTTGAGCACTTTTTGAAAATGTTCATAGGAGTTATAGCGACATCGTCTTATGCCGTTTCCATGTTGAGGC